CCTCATGGCAGGCTCACCTCCTGATGGCATTTATCAGTGTATGAACCTGCTACTCAGCCTTATGTTTGTTGTTCCCATTGCCTGATGGATTCATGCTGACCCTTTTCCTTGGCAAGCTGCCACAACACGGAAGAATTGGTTAATTGCATACTACTGTTTATAGGAGAAGGGATTTGAATCTGATCTGTCTGCAGCTATTGCATTTGGTTTTGTTCAGATTTATACAAAGTGCTCGGTGAATCCTTGTTCTGTTTCCCTGACTGATGGATTTTTACTTGCATGGAAAATAGGTCACTTGAATACCAGTATGTTTTGAAAATCCTGTGGGGGCCAGTGGGTGACCTGGGACTGTGCCTGGGAAGCCTGTCTGGAGGACTGATCATGGTTTGTTTTTCCCTGGAGATGCAGTGTCTGTGTCCATGTGCATGATTGGGAGTAGCACTTGACCCTTGCACAGAGCTGGGGGAGCTCCTTGTGTTCCTTGTTTCTACCACAGCTGGTGTGAGCAGTTCTCCAGCTGTGCTGGCTGTGCATCCCATGCTGGGAGTGCAGAACAGCTTGTGTCCTGCAAGGTGGAGCTGACTGGGGTGCAGGCCCTGCCCCTCTGCTGCTGCCAGGACCTGTAAACCTCTCTGCAGCCAGGTAGAGCTAAGGGCACCCAGCACGTGATGGCGTGGCCTTCTGTTCTTATTTCTTGAGCTGATTTGAAACTAAGCAGGGCTTAGTTTGGGACTTCCTTAGCGCTGCTTTTAGTATCTCCCCTTTAAAATGGATCATCCCCCTGATTTATTTGTCCTTCTGAGCCGTGGGCTCTTTTATGCTGTTAGTTTTCTTTGATTCTCACACAAAATGAGAAACACCTTCTGCCACCAAGCCTAGGTTGGAAAAGCAGCTGCTCTAAAGTCCACTCACCTGTCTGTGATCCTGGCAGTGTCCTGGCTGCTGCCACCTCTCTCTGCAGGCTTGGCTGTGTGCTGACACCTCCTTGGGCACAAAGCTGTGCCATCTTGTGCTGACAAAGCACGTGGCCCCTGTGGTGTGACTGCAGAGCAGATCTCTAGCTGCTAGATGGGAGGGGCTACCTGAGGCTTTGAGCTCCACCGGGGGTAAGACTGAGGCTGGGCTGTGAAAATGGGCTGACAAGGTCCCACCTTTCATTAAATGGCAGAGTGGTTGGGGTTGGAAGAGACCTTAAAGGTCATCTCGTTCCAATCCCATGCCATAGGCCTCTAGTGACATGGCTGGGGCAACCTGAGCAAAGCCCGTTTTTCTGGTGGCCTAAAATATTTGTCCAGAGCTGGTGGGGAAGATGTTGCCTTTGTGGCCAGCTGTAACCACATGGGCCTGTCACAATCTGATTTGGTTTAATGTGACTCTCCCTGTTCTTTGCAAAGAAGTCTTTAAAGGGAAAACAAGGGCTGGGTAAAAACTGCTAATGCTCAGCTTATTTTCAGTCCTTTATACATTTTTAATATTAGATTTTGATCTTGTTTTCTTCTAAGGTGCTGGTATGAGATTTTTTTATGAGCTGGTCTTACCACTCTCTGAGTCTCAAGAATCCAGTCATGTGGAAAGGATTCCTTCTTAGATGCAGCAGGCAGACTTTATCCTTTGATCCCATAACTTTCAGCTCCTTTCTCTAAGTGACGAGTTTTGGTTTTGCTGAGCAAAAGCTATTTCCTAGTACCCTTTTTTAAAAAGAGCTAGTGCTTAAAAATTGAGAGGATCATAATAAGGTGATCTCTCAGAATGATTGTGATTGGAAGGGACCTTCAGGATCTCTAATTCCACCTCTCTGCCATGGGCAGGGACACCTTCCACTAGACCAAGTTCCTCCAAGCCCTATCCAACCTAGCCTTGATGATGATGATGAGCAGATATTCCTGCAGGCAGGGAGGGAATGCTGCATTTCACAGAACCTCAGCTGGGTGATACACCAGTGGGTTTTCATCAGTAAAACTGATTCAGGGAGTCTCCTATGCCCAAAGTCCAGATCTGGGTGCTGAATCATGAACTTGTGTTCTTCAGTAGCTCTTAGTAAAGCAAAAGATGTGGTTTCTACTGAGGTTTTCCAGATGAACCTCCCTGATGATGATTGCTTTTTGTTTTATTAATAATCAGATGAAAGGATTTCGTTGTGGACTTGGGGCACAGTAAACATTGTCTGTGACCACCAAAGTCCAAGATTTCAGGTACAGTCAGTTCAAGTCCAAAGAAGCCCCTGCGCTCTGTTGCTCAGAAGAGAACAGGTCAGCAGACCTGCAGCTCTGCATGTGTGCATCTTGTGGGTGGGGTTAGAGTGTTGTGGGATAGACCCTGGTGCAGTGAGGTGCGCCCAGAGGGTAATGGATGTGCTGGGGAGAGCCGGGGGAGCAGCCCCTCAGCGGGAGCTGTGCTGGGTGGGTGCACAGAAGTGGTTTGGGTTACCCGATCCCTGTGGTGCCGGGGTGTCACGTTTCGTTTCTCACGCAGTGGTTCTCATGGGAAAGGCTGGGTTCCCCCGGTGAGTCGGAAATGTCCCAGGAGCCCCGTGCATTCAGAGTATGTGTCAATTGTTTCCTTCCAGGCACTTTGGGAAGGGAGCCTAAAAGATTATCTCAGCATTTGGAACAATATAAACAAATGCCAAGCACTTCAAGTACACGGAGGAGGAAAATGTCTTGCTCGGCCTCCCTGAGCAGTTGGGAGGGGTAGGGGGAGGCGCAGCAAACAACATTAAATAAGTCTCTGCCTTCAGACAAGGGAAAAGCAGCAAAGTAATGCAGATGTTAGCCTGCATATATCCAAGTGAGGTTCATATTACCAAAATCTGTGCTGTGCACACGTGGTCCTAAGATTAAAGAGATTGTCCAATTCTGTTGGCAGCATATTAAAGTATTAAGACTGCAGGCTCACTGTGATGTGTTTCTATTATCAAGCTGACCACAAAATTCAAGTGATTCAAAGGGGAATGTTGTTTAATACAGGTAGCTTTTGCATCAGGCTTTTGGATAGTTTTGGGTGTGACTACTGCCCTGTCTGGGGTCATCCCCACCCTCCAGCTCCTGCTGGTGCTCAGATGAGATCTCCCCTTCCCTGTCCCTGTGTGGCACTCAGGCCATCTGCCACCTTAAAGCTGATGTTTGCAGTTGCTGCAAGAGCTTTCTGGGTTTCCTTTGGCACGCAAGAGCTAAACTGGATCTTCACTGCTCTGGGAGGTCTTCGTGCTACAGATGTTTGTGTGGCTCTGCCCTTTCCCTCTGTGGTGTGATCCCATTCCTTGGAGATGGTGAATCTGGCAAGAGGCAGCTGACACAGGACCCTCTCCTGTCACTGTTCCACTGCCTGAGATTGACCCCTGCTCAGCTCCAGAATCCTCTTTCTTCCATTTCTGGGAGTGTCCAAGGCCACGTTGGATGGGGCTTGGAGCAAACTGGTGTACTGGGAGGTGTCCCTGCCCATGGCAGGGGCTGGAACAAGATGAGCAAACATTCAAAATAAAGGTTCAAACATGCAAAATAAAGGCCTCACAGCTGGCCTCAGGGGTGTGTGGAATTTGAAATGGCAAAAGCAGGTTTGTTTTTCATTGGCAAATCAGTTTGTTACAGAAATGGAGTATTTTGTGCCTACATTTTCAGTTGTTTGATCACCAAGATTGCATTTATCATAAGGAGGAATTAGAAACACATGTTTAGTTTGTGGGTCATTCATTGAGATAAATTTGTTTAGTTAGTCTGTTCATCTGAAACTCTCCATTCAGCCACTCTGGGATGGAAAATGGGAAAACCAAACTTGGTCCAAAGTGCAGAATCCAGCTCTCATTTCTCAAGAGTTGCTTTTGTAAGAGCTGCTTTTACAGCCTACAGTATGATGTCTGAATGATCTGGGCAGAGAAGTGCTTTCTGTAAGCACAGGATATTCATCCTGAGCTGACAGAATGCAGAAAGCCCTGAAAAGAAACCATTTTTATCAGACAGAAAAAGGCACAACCATTGGCAAATGTAGTTGGAGTGATTTACTTGGAAATCCAAGTCTCAGTGCAAGGGCATCCTTGGGATTTACAGCCAACATATGAAATTTGGCACTTATTCTGTTACCAGTTAATTTTGGTTTTTTGAAAGTGTCGAGTAGGAGTTGATAGGAACTTCTGTGAGAAGTCCTTCCTCCTCTGGTGTGTTATAATAACACCCCACTGGTACTTGGAGCATGGGGCCTCTATAGTGGCACCTGTGTAAGGTACCTAATGGTACTTTGGCACGTGTTATACAGTGGACTGCACAGTCAAGTGATGTAGATTTTGTTGGTCTAAGCTCTTCAATTCAACTGAATCACTTGGCATGAGGTAGTTGTTAAGTTCAGCCAGTGTATTTGGTAAAACAAATGGAAAAATTAGTGTAGAATGTGTTTGAAAAGCACTCTGTTCAATATTACAAAATGAGTACGATGGCCTTCTGTGGGGTTTATTTTTGTATTTAAATGAGTCACAAGGGCAACAATTATCTGAATCTACACTGGCATGTGCTCTCAGAAATGATGGGACAAAAATACTTCTCGAAATGGTAGCTACAGAGCTCCAAGCTCACATCTGGAGGCAATAAAAACAGGACTAATTAATGCTAGGCCATCAAAGAGGGATAGTTCACTTGCCTTGTGGAGTGAAACAGGGATGGGCTAGGGCAAAGAGTAATGATTTCCAAGTGAAAGAGGGGAAGTTTATTTTAGATATATGGAAGAAATTCTTCCCTGTTAGGGCAGTGAGGCCCTGGCACAGGGTGCCCACAGAAGCTGTGGCTGCCCCATCCCTGGAAGTGTCCAAGGCCAGACTGGATGGGGCTTGGAGCAGCCTGGGCTAGAGGAAGGTGTCCCTGCACATGGCAGGGGATTGGAATGAGATGAGCTTCAAGGTCCCTTCCAACCCAAACCATTTTGGGGCTCAGAGAAATGCAGCATGATCTGTGCTGGCCCGTGGTGCCCAGGCTGCCCAGTGCTGAAGTTAATATTTGTGTGCTTGTGTTCCCCAGGTCACCACACGATTTACATCGGGGTCCATGTGCCGAAGAGCTACAGGCGGAGGAGGCGTCACAGGAGAAGAGCTGGGCACAAAGAAAAGAAAGAAAAGGAGAAAATCTCAGAGAACTACTCGGACAAATCAGACGTAGAAAACGCTGATGAGACAAGCAGCAGCATCCTGAAACCACTCAGTGAGTACTGGTTCCAGTTGTCACTCTACAATGTTCTGTTGTCTAGGGATCTGCTCATGGAGGACAAAACTTGATCCACGAAAACAATTGTCTCAGGTTGCAGAGTTGGAGCAGCCTTAGCCTGCTGCTGTGGGATAGCTGCTGTGGCTTGGAAAAGGCACAGGCCAGAGCAGACATTTCATCCCTCTGTATCACCTGAGTTGGCCCTTGAGCAGATGCCAGGCAGGAACAGGCCAAATGTTTAAAAAGCAATATGACACTGTGTGTAAAGAGATAGCAAGCAAGGGCAAAGGCTGAGTAGTGCCTAGGTAGATCTATTGCAGCTTCTGCCCTGGCTCTGGCACGTGCACACACTCTGGAATTCCAGCACCCCATGGTTTTGGCCTCATGTGGCACTAACCTGCGGTGCTAACAGCTTTTTTCCCTTTGGTAATTAGCCCGTTTTAGGTTTTGAAAACAAAAAGAAGAATCAAATGGAGCTTTGCTGTATGTTTGAGTATCTGTCAGGATTGAATATCTAAATATTGACAGGCACCTGAGGTCCATTTTGGATGCTCTGTGCCTCTCTTCTCACCAGAATTGTTAAGCAGAGGACAGAGACCTTTAGCTAGTGCCATCACTGTGCAGAGACTGTCACAGGATTGCATTCTTCTTGCTGGATTCTCTGTTGGCCACAAGCTTGTCCTGAAATGTGGGAGGTGGGTGCTCAGGTAGGAGCAGAGGGGACCATGGGAAGGCTAATGGGGATGCAGCCCAGGAGGTGATACAGCTTGGATTGTTGAGGTTCATTCCAGATGGTTGGAGTTTAATTTCTAAGTGGAAAAACACTTCCTGTGTGAGACATCATACAACTGGGTCTTGGATTGAAGAAATATATTCATTTCTCATTTTGAGCTCGTGTTGCTGTGTAGCTGCTGTAGATAGAGACAGTAACATGGGGCACATGAGTCCTGTCTTGAGCCTGGTTACCATCTTCAGAGAACAGCACCTGGAAAGGAAGGCTAGTCACAGCTTCCATTTACTCTTCCCAGCTCTTGTTCCCTGGTTATCCCAAAGAAGATTTTTTGTCAGCTCTCAGAAACCAGGAGTTGGTTTTACAGTTGAATCATTACCCATCTTCAAGAACTGAAATGTTTTAAGCTTAATTTTTATGTTTACACCTCTGTTCTTCAGCATGCAGGTTATGAGGCCTGTAGAGGTTGCTTTTTTACTTTTGAATGTATCATATCCCAGGGGAATTGTTTCCATGGGCTAAGTGTACCTATGTTTGAAAACCCATTTCTTCTGTCAGGTTTTCATGTCCTGCCTTTCATTTTGCCCATCATTGTGTCTGTGTCATTTGAGGAGGGTTTTGTGGTGTTTCTTCTCTCCTGTTTCTTTGCAGTAATATGTTCTTATCTGCACTTATTGCATGTGAAAATATGCAATCTTTCCATCACTCTCCATCTGCAGTTTTCCCATAAGCTTTTCCACCCTGACCCGTTTGCACTGCAGATTTTTGGAGTGGAATCACATAAATATTCCAGGTGTGCCATGCAGTAGCATTCATACCCCTTCACTGGGCCCTCTTGTCTGTTGTTCAGCATCTCAGGTATCCAGATACTTTTCCAGGTCCTCGCAGGGACCTGCTGTTTCATGCTGCTGGCCAGATCTTTTTACGAGCTGGCTCAGTTACCTTGGAACTCTGCAAAGGAGAGGGGTAGTTCAGGTTACTGTCTTGAATTACAAGTTACCTCATATCCCTGGGTTTTTTCTCCTCTGAAACTCTTGTCTTCAGAGCTGAATTTTGTGTTTCCCACCCTTTCTTTTGCTTTCTAAGAAGCCTTTCTTTGCTCTCCACAAGCTGTGTCACACGAGTGTGTCCGACAGACAGCATGTACCAGCTTAGGCTGGTGTCTAGTGCTGGCAATCCTGGCAAGAAACCTCAGTTAGAACCCTGGGGTTTTAATCTTCATCCCATAATAGGCATTGATGGAGGGGTAGGTGGCTCAAATTCAATTTCAAAAGAATATTAAAAATTAAGAGCTGGGAAATACTGTGCAATAACTTTAATGGAGTTGGGAGAAAGCTGAAATGAACTTTGTTACACATATTTAAGGCAATCAGTAGAGAGTGTGGAATATCTGTGAGGGCTGTGTGGCTTAAAACAAGTGAAATCTGATCTAGCGTGAAGAAATCTCCAACATTGTGAGTTTCCGTCCAACATGTTTCAGTTTAAGGAATCCTGAATTTATAGAGCTCCTTCTCTTTGTTGATTTTTGCAGTTATCATCTTGGCTAGTATTAGACACTGTCAGTTCAGCTTGGGTGTTGAGCTGGTGATTTAGTTTATCTTCTAATACAAGGACAATATATAGAGCTTGGTTTGCAAAATCTTTAATCATGTAGTTGTTAAAATAATTTGTGGAAGTTGCTGGAATGACTTGATTGTCATGTGTATTAAGACCTTTGTTTTTCCTGAGTAGAAACTTAAGCCAGTTGTGGTTTGGTGCCTCACTTGGATTTCTTGGTCTGTCCCTAAGGACCACAAGACTAAGCTCCAGTATCCTTGCTGAAAATGATTTCTCAGCTTCTTGTATGAAAACTCTGCAATTAGATTTTGACCAAGTCTCGGTTTGACTCAGCGGGTCAAGCTGCTCACAACAACCCAACCTGATGGGACATGTCCATTGATACCAGCAAGAGAATAAACAGGTCCAGAAATGCAGATCTTCCCTAGAAAGGCTTTGTTCCAGTTCCAAACCAGTCTAGCTGTGCCTCTGTGTTTGGGAATTGATGCAGTCTGGAAATGTCAGTCCTTTTCCTTTTTCACTCTGTGTCCAGCTAAGCCAAACAAGCCCAACTCTGGTAGTTTATAGACAACCTTCAGCTCTCCCCTGTGGAGAGAACTGGGCAGATGGAACCTGTACAGATACATTTGATCCTAAGGAAATGATTGCTTGGGAACCAAGCCTCCTTCCCAAATCCAGACAGGGATACTCTGACAGACTGAGGAGGAGGCAGGAAGGCAATGTTCCCTCTGCAGAGCCCTTTCAGGACATTCCAGGCCTGCAGGGCTGTCTCTGCTCTCACAGAACCTTGGCAGTCACACCCTGCTTCTCAGGCAGGACTGCAGACGATGACAAATCCCTCTTCCAGGTGAAACATCCCAGCACCTCCTTTAGCCAGCCTAGCCTTGGTTTCCACTTAGGGCCAGTACAGAGGAAATGCTTTTTAGGCTCTGCCTCATCGGGTGTGCTGGTGCTTGTGTCAGCACAAAGAGGATGGTGTAGTTTGCTGCTACTTGCAAGGGATGAGACAAAGGAGGAACAAGGAAGGCAGGTGAAGTTTCTCCGAGTCCATTTCCCTCTTCCTCATTCTTTACTACAGGTGTGCAGAGATTTTCCCATGAGGAAATGCATTTCTACTTTATCTGGGAAGGGGTTTTTTCTCATTGTTTGGTTGCCCTCCAAGTCACTTTGGCTTACCTCCCTGGCCCCAACCCAGGTGCTGCAATACTTCACTGACTTTTTAAAACCACTTGTGGGTCGGACAAATTCTTACTGCCAAGGAATAGAATTTTCTTAGTGCTTGCAGTCTTGAAGAGAGTAAAACCTGATTTTTGTCAGGGGTCAGAATGTTTCCATGTTGATAAATATAACTGTAGAATCTAAATTTTGGAATACCTAAAAGCAGGGATAAGAGGACCTATATAAAGAGAGATGGGAAGGATGATATATCAAAGCTTTGTAAAGGTTTCCAGTTGGCTCAGAGAATTCCTCTTGCACCCACCAGCCATAGTTGTTGAGGGTTTTAGCAGAAATCCTCTCTGGAGCCCTTCTCATGTTTGCAGGGGAGTAATTTCATTCATTTCATTGGGGCTTGTGCTGCCATTCCACATGGGCTGCATGTCTCCCAGTACAGGTGAGGTTTTGGCTGGATGGATCAGATCTGCACTGGAGGCAGGTAAATTTCTGGTCCTGCTTCCCAGCTTGGAGCACCTGCTTTGCAGGAAGAGTGTACTGTGGACAGTGTCCCATTTAATAGGTTGCCCAAAGAAGTGGAGGATACCTTGTTCCTGGAAGTGTTCAAGGCCACATTGGACAAGGCTTGGAGCAACCTGGGATAGTAGAAGATGTCCCTGCCCATGGCAGGGTTTTGGAATGAGCAGATCTTTAAGGTTCCTTCCAACCCAAACCATTCTGTGATTCTGGGATTTCCAGTGAGGACTGCCAGTCTGACTGGAATAGGTCATTCAAAAAAAGATGAAATTAATTCAACAAGGATATTTAGACATCTATTTAGGAATGCTCAAGCTCGGTTTCTACCTTGCAAGTTCATTAATGCAGGTGCTATAAATAGCAGAGAGAACTACAGGATGGAAATAAATGAACCTACTTAGCAGAGCAGATGCAGCACAGTCAGGGCTGTGCCAGGAGTTGTCTTTCAGTAACAGTTTGTGTTAGTGGATTTTTCAGCCATCCAGTTTCCTTCCTGACTTTGCAAGACATGGGGTGGGATTTTCCAAAAGCTTTTAGCCTCAGCTCACCACAGTGAGAGCACCGACAGTAGCTGAGAAATACCAGGCAGGATGGCCACAGCTTAATTGTTTTAGTATTGGCGTTTTACACAGGGGAAGTGGTGAGGGAGACTTTGCCATAAATAAAAGGGAATTTTGGTGTTTTGGGCTTTGAGAACTGCACGGTAGGCTCATGGGCTGGTCCCGGGTGCTGGGGTCAGTTGAAACAGGTCTTCTTCTGCCTCTCCAGTGCTGCAGAGAGCGTGCTTAGGTCCAGTGTAGTGCAAGTGCAGAGGTAAATGAAACACAGAGCTAATTAGTGCTTGGCTGCAGACGTGCCCTGTCACAGGCGGGGGCCTGTCGGAGCGGCTGCCGGGGCTGTGTCCGTGGCAGAGGCCATGGGAAGGTGCTCGGGGCAGGCAGGCTGTGGGCAGGGCACAGGTGAGGAGGTCGGCCCTGCTGCTGACACAGCCCTGGCTCCGCTCCGTTCCCACCCTGCAGGA